CCCCAAAACCCCAAAACCCCAAAACCCCGCAAAAATTTATATAGTTTATTTAAAAAGTAATGAAATAAAAAATTTATTATCACAACTTTAGTCTTGAAATCTCATTTTATCATTAATTTTATTTATTATTTTGGTTAACTTAGCTCTTATTGCAATTATTTGGCAGCTACTGTTATCCATATTTCTTGACGAACTTAGACTCATCTTTCTGAATTGAGAAGAGTTAGCTGTTGCTATTATTTCCTTTGAATCTTTTTTGAGGTGCAGAGTTATTGAAAGGCTAAAAAATATTATCTAGTAACTGTTATTAGTTATTTGGATCTAGAATATTTTAGTTAAGTTAGCTTATATTTATGATGTTATGAGTATGCATATGAATGACTTTATCATTCTTTGCTGTTTCAAATTGCTATTGCTATTTCATTTTTAGTTTTTCCTATTCCTACTACATTATGTCCTTCTTGATTTGAACATATTGCTACTTTCTCAAATCATTCTAAATCTTCTCAAGCAATTTCAATTCTCTCTTTTTTATATTAGCTTGTTATTGCTAATATTCTTGATCGAAAATTTCATATTATATCTCAATCGGATCTCTTCTGAGGAATTCTTAGCAGTCAAAGTTTTATTGCTAAATTTAATTATTCTCACTTCTCAACTGTTAAGGTTCTTAATAGAAGCATTTATCCTAGTCATGATTTTAAACATATTAGTAAATATTATTTGGTTATATCATATTTAATGAGGAGTGATTTGCAGGCTTCTCATAAGCTTTGAATTAATTCTTAGGAAGATAAGATGTCGCTGAAAGATTTGATTAATTGATTACAGGATAAGACTATTTTCTTCCATCTACAGTTAGCAATTTCTAAAATTATCTTATATCTATATCTTCAATATTCTAACAAATCATAGGACTCGGTGGTTTATCAATAATCTCATATTGTTGGACCGGCTCTACTAGAGTACAAATTTGCTATCTTTGAGGCTGAATATCCACAATATCATGCTACATTCTCTTTTAAAGAGGCACTTCAATTACTGATAAAGGCTCATATATCACAGTCTATTATTGCTGAGGCTGACTTCTAATAATCTTTATCTATTGTGGAATAATTTACTATTTAGGATAACTCTAGTTATAATGATTTTGCTATTAGAGAGGTTGCTGATAGCTAGTGACTTAGGGTTGCTTAATTTATTATCCAATCTAAAGGTAAATGGGTTGAGTATTCTTCACCTCATAATTAGGTTGATAGATGTAAGTTTATTGCATTAGTTGAGGCGAAAATAAAATTTTCTTATGAGTATCATTCTCTTCTTTTAAATAAAAGCTAGGATCTTTTACCTAGTACACTTGAGAATCTTGATAATTTTGCTAGTTGTTTAACACATTATATTATTAAGGGGCAGGAGAGTTGTATATTGTTCCTCTCTGATAAATAATTGGTTAATTATGCAGTCCATTTGGGGCAGTCGTAGTGAACTGTTGATACTATGTAGGTTACACATATGTTGGTAGAATTTAAGGAATGATTCTTATTTAGTTATTAAATTTGATCTCCATTAACTTATTTCTTATGTAGGCATAGTTAGGAGCATCATAGTAATCTAGATTCTTCAGATGATAGAAAATATCCTTAACTTATTAAATATTTTTGGTGCTCGTTATCCAGAGATATTTTTCAGGATTTCCAAGACATCTGGCTTTTATATCCTTTACCTCATCTTTAACACTATCTATAGAAATGAATGAATAAACTGCGGTTTGTTTTACTATTTTTCCATGGAAGGATTTCATTTAGAAAATCTAGAATCACAAAATAGAAGCTCCATAGATCATCTCTTCTAGAAAGATCCTAAAAAAAGTTTAGATTTTTTTATACTTACAATTTTTAAGTGTGCATTAAGCGAGGCAAATGTAATTGTGCCTCTAAAATCAGCTTGAGATCTCATTGGAACGGGGAATCCTATAAGTTCAGTTAGAATTTTAGCTTACCATTTTGAATATGCTACTTAGCTAGACCGAAATCAACAATGTACACCTTCATCTTCTCCTAGCCTTTACCAATCACAAAGTTATACTATAAAAATATTATGAGCACCTAATGTTTACAGGCTTGATATCTCTATGAATAAATCCTCTCTTATGTACTTCTTCTATTGAGTCTAGCATTTAGACCTAGTAAATATATAAATTACAGAAAATAGTACCAGATAGTGTACTGCTAACTCAATGGTCATTTTTCTGCCAAGTAGCTTCTTCTAATTAGCCAAATTTTTTCCGAGTAATCTCATTACTATGAAGTTTTAGCCCCCGTTTTTTCTCTCCTGAAATTCATAAACAGCTGGAGTATGATTAAGTCCTATCAATTAGATTAAGTTAAATCGTTGAAAGAGATAAAAGTAATGGTCACCTTAAAGTTGCTTCAAAACATCATACTCAAACATCAATATTCTCTTTGATTTATCTGGCTTCTCTATCTTTAATGCGACTTTATCAGTTCTTAATTTATCTTAGGCTGAGTAAATAGTGCCTTATGAAAAATTCAATATAGTAATGTTATTTACTGAATGATCCTTAGCCTAGTTACTCAATTATAGTAAATCTGTCGTCTAATTTCATCATTGAGTATTTCCAACCTAACTTATTAATAATTTTAAATATCAGAGATCTATAATTCAATAACTTGCCTTTGAGGGGTTTTGGGGTTTTGGGGTTTTGGGG